GTTAAACTTATATTAAAGTTTTTCTTCATTACCCATTTAAGCCGTCTCCAGCCATTATTAGTCTCAAAGTGGGTTCCTCGTCATCGTACTATCTAAAATGTTTATTACAAGAGATTTTACCTACACACAAATATTTTCAGTGTATTCTGCTAGAACCCTATCTATTACAATGTTATTATTTCTTCCACTGGATGGTTATAAAGAAAAGCCAATATTTAAAATGATTATATCTTCAAAAGCATTTCTTCTAGAACAAAATTTCTCCAGAGGCACGTTGAGGTTCACAAGTTTTATTGAGGAAAGTGTGAATATGGTGTAGGTTGTTCCAAAAACCATATTAAACTACATATCTTAAACGTGTTTCTCGCAAACTAACATTTTATTTCTCTTCTTTTTTTCCTCCTTTTCAACAATACAAACTTGGTAATTTAAATAAATTATGCATGTCAGTATGCAGAGACATGCAGTTGATTTTCGACTGTGCTTTCAAAAACATAATCGCAGTTTTCTCTCGTTAAAAGACAATTGTCAAGAGAAAATGGACGCTCACTTTCTTAAAAGTGCCCTGGAATTGTAGTAATATAATTCGTTGGTTCGAGGCAGAAGGATCCATAAAAGATGCTTCCGATTCTGGGCATCTTTTGTATCCGTGGAAGTAGTAACGGAGAAAACTCAGCATATATAAGACAATGCTGACAAACGTCCGTTTGGAGCAACAAGTAAAAACAAAACAAAGAAAGAGGGTTGTTCGAGAAATAGGTCTGCAACAAACTACACTGTGTAAAATAACAATAATAAAATAATAAAAGTTTATCGTTATATATATACATCTGCATGCTTTTGCAACTTGATTTTGCACACATGTTTTAGTCAGGTCGATGATTGATTAAAAGTAACCATAAACATCTTTTGGACAGACAAATTCCTATCCGTGGATACGTTAACTACACTCATTTCACCAGAAGGCCCGAAGTGGGTCTGGTGGTATTAACATGCCGACCTGTAGATCTGACGGCTCATTATTTGCGTCCCATTAGCACGAGAAAAAAAATTGCGCTTCGGGACCGTGGGTGCATTATAAAAATGGCAGACAAATCCGACTATTCGACTAGCGTAGCCCAAAAGGTGGTCGAGGCTGCTATTGACTAGCTACCTTCCCTATAGTCTATCAGTTCAAAATTAGGAACGGCTAGGGCAGATAGCCCGAATGTAATTTTGTAATTTTACCAAAAACCCATTCTCTATTCTCATGCTATTGTAATGTGCGACTACGCCGGTACTGTTATCATTGATTAATATTTCTTTGACATTTGACAAAACTTGCCGCTTCCAAACCTCTTTCAATAAATGGAGTTATTTATGAGGAAATGTTGGAAGACCACCTTTTCCACGCCCAGGGGAACAGGACATTGACAACATCATCCTTTTAAAAGGTCCTTTCATTAAGAACAGATCCACAGGGCGTTC